CACGTCACCACCGCTAAGCTAAAGGTGGCTAATGTTGGGCTATAAAGAAACTACAGCACGGTCACATGACTTCACGTCACCACCGCTAAGCTAAAGGAGGCTAATGTTGGGCTATAAAGGAACTACAGCACGGTCACATGACTTCACGTCACCACCGCTAAGCTAAAGGTGGCTAATGTTGGGCTATAAAGGAACTACAGCACGGTCACATGACTTCACGTCACCACCGCTAAGCTAAAGGTGGCTAATGTTGGGCTATAAAGGAACTACAGCACGGTCACATGACTTCACGTCACCACCGCTAAGCTAAAGGTGGCTAATGTTGGGCTATAAAGGAACTACAGCACGGTCACATGACTTCACGTCACCACCGCTAAGCTAAAGGTGGCTAATGTTGGGCTATAAAGGAACTACAGCACGGTCACATGACTTCACATCACCACCGCTAAGCTAAAGGTGATGACGTTTAGTCAGCTGACGTACCTGGGCAGAGGGACAGGAGGAGCGAGGCGACGGCAGGCTGTGATTGGCTGCTGCGGACGAATGGGCTTGGCTACAATTGGCGGGAGCTCAGCTTGTACCATGCTTCCTGACGACACAACCTGAAGGACATTAAGTATCATTATTTAGTCTTTATTGTGTTTATGAAGGTTTTGGTGTGTGTTGCCAACCTTGGCACCCTTTGACTTCTGGGCAGAGTCTGATTGGACGGTGGGGGTCAGGTGGAGGTCAAGAGGCGGAGCCTTCAGCTGTCTGTCACAAACCTGGACCTTCTCTTTCAGTCGGAACAAAACCTGCAGAGCAAACAGCAGAGAAAACTGCAATCATTAATTTCATTTATTTTCTAAATTACGGACAAAGGTTTAAGCACACATACATATACATTTTAATTATATTTATTTTAATTAAATAAGGAGCTTTATTTTCAGGTCTAAGAGATAAAACAGATTATATTAACTGAAACATCTGGTTTCTCTGTGCAGCAGCTCCCTCTTGTGGATTAAATGTCACAATGCAACTAAAATAGTAAAAATATAATGAATAGTATTAGCATAATCAATTAATATTTAAATCTAATTTCTAATATGTATTGATATGTATCGTTTCATTTAACTTGTTTATATAATATGTTTAAATATTAATTATGTTTATAATTCATTTATTTTATGTAAATGTTCTATTTGAAGATTACACATTGTTAATGCTCATTATTATCAAAATAATATTAAAACAACTTTATTAAGGTAAAAGCACGGATTATATTTCAAAATTAAGCAAATGTAACGAAAAACATGTAAAGAATTTATATGAATTAAATTGACAAAGATGAAATACTAAATGCTTTGTATCTTAATATGTATGGCAACAAAAATGTTAAGTTTTACCATCAAGCAGGTGATGACGATGACGAAGACGGTGAAGAAGAGGATGACGGCGTAGAAACCCTCTGGGCTCCAAACGTGATCCCGCTGCTCGCCCTGCAGCACGTTCTTCTACAGGAGAGAGTTTACACATATTTATTTTAGAAGATGCTCTTAACCAGAAGAAGCTGAAGACTACAATTCCCATGATGCCTTGCTGCTTCACCGCCACACACAACTCAATTGTAACTGTTGTTTTTATTACATATTATGTGTTTAAAGCTCCTACGGGGAGTTTCTGATGTGTTGCTTTGATAATATTAACACAGAGGAGCGGACACTTCTCTCTGTGGCAGTAAGAGTGATTAAATAATATAAAATATAACGGCGCTGCCTGATTGATCGGACTTTAACAGCTGCATTAAAGTTTCAGTAGCAGCACTCAGCGCTCTAATAAACCCCATCTATCCTCCGTCTGTCTCCACGGTGAGTAACGAGCTGCTGTAACCTAGGAAACGGAGCACACACACACCTCGGTTGAGACCTCGGTGATGCCGAAGTGTCCCAGGTGTCGATGGAGGACCCTGATGTTCAGTGATTGGATGACCTCTTCAGCGGGGAGGGGCTCTGAGACTCCCGGCCTATCAGAGGACACGAAGAGCTCGATGCCATTCTTCTTCTCCTGGGAGAGAAAAATGTAAAAATTAAATAATTAACGGATGATTAAGAAGCAGAGGTGGGAAGTAGTGGAGTACAAATACTTTGTTACTGTACTTAACTACATCTTTCTGGTATCAGTACTTTACTCCACTACTTATTTTTCTGAAGACTTTTTACTTTCTACTTCTCACATGTTGAACACAAATACCTGTACTTTCTACTTCTTACATGTTGAACTCTAATACCTGTACTTTCTACTTCTTACATGTTGAACACAAATACCTGTACTTTCTACTTCTTACATGTTGAACTCTAATACCTGTACTTTCTACTTCTTACGTTGAACACAAATACCTGTACTTTCTACTTCTCACATGTTGAACTCTAATACCTGTACTTTCTACTTCTCACATGTTGAACACAAATACCTGTACTTTCTACTTCTTACATGTTGAACACAAATACCTGTACTTTCTACTTCTTACATGTTGAACACAAATACCTGTACTTTCTACTTCTTACATGTTGAACACAAATACTTGTACTTTCTACTT